AGGAGGAAGAGGCCTTGTTGGGGTCCTTGAAGCTCTTTGAACCTGGTGGTTTTCTTGCAGACGTTTCATGACCCAACTAGGTAACAACATCATTGCTAGAAGGGAATGGGGTTTGTGGAGGAGGAGGAGGAGGAGGAGGACTGTGGGGTCCTTGGTGGTCTCTGAGCTTGGCTGCTTTCTTGCAGACATTTCATGACCCAACTAGGTAATACCGTCAATGCTAGGAGGGAGTGGGGTTTGCTCTCTGTTTCTATACTAATGGCTCACCCTGTTAGCGTTAGTAGTGGGAATGTTCTTTTGTGGTTTCTTCATTAGTCTGTGGTTTATTGTTTGACAGTTTGTCTGAGTTGGCAGTTCCTACTTCCTTAATTGGTGTATTGTTTACTTCTTGTTTGCTGGTCTAGCGTTAATCTTGGTGTTAATCTCGGCTCATCTGGGCATTGACAGTTAGCAAGTTGGTGTTTGGGCCCTTTTGTTTCCTTTTTAGCTTTTGGATTCTCTCTTTTCAATGGTGTGTAGATGTTGTTTATCTCTCCATGCCAGTTGATGGCTACTTTGTCTAAAGGCCAAGTTTTCAGGAATTCTCTTGCTTTTGGGGACTTGATCTAGGCTACAATGCTCACTCCCTAGCCCTAGTAAAACCATTACCGTCTTCTACCACCTCTTAGTTAACAACAGCTTAATCAGATAAGGACAACCAAGAAGTAAACACCATTTCCAGCTAGACTGACAGGAGGACCCACCTGTATAGAAACAGAGAGCAAAAGCCATTCCTTTCTAGCACTGATGATGTTCCCTAGTTGGGTCATGCAACGTCTGTAAGAAAACGAAAGTTCAGATACCACCAAGGACCCTACAGTCCTCCTCTTCCTCCTTTTCACAGACCCCATTCCCTTCTGGCACTGATGATGTTCCCTAGTTGGGCCATGAAACGTCTGCAAAAAAGCAGCCAAGCTCAAAGAGCATCAAGGACCCCACAGTCCTTTTCTTCCTCCTCCTCTCCCTCAACCCCCTCTCTTCTGGCACTGATGATGTTCCCTAGTTGGGTCATGAAATGTCTGAAAGAAAACCACTAAGCTCAGAGAGCACCAAGGACCCCAGAGTCGTCGTCTTCTTCTTCTTCTTCTTCTTCTTCTTCTTCTTCTTCTTCTTCTTCTTCTTCTTCTTCTTCTTCTTCTTCTTCTTCTTCTTCTTCTTCTTCTTCTTCTCCTTCTCCTTCTCCTTCTCCTTCTCCTTCTCCCCCTTCTCCTTCTCCTTCTTCTTCTTCTTCTCCTTCTCCCTCTCCCCCTTCTCCTTCTTCTTCTTCTTCTTCATGGAAGCCTCCTTTCCTTCTAGCATGGATGATGTTCCCTACCTGGGTCATGAAACATCTAAAGAAAGCCACCCAGCTCAGAGACCACCAAGGATCCCACAGTTCAACCCTGAGCTACAAATATCCCCTTCCAATAGAGACACAACCAGTTACATCGCGATACCTACAGGAAAGCCACAGGGGATATAGTTCGACAATGATTGCTTAGGGTCACGAACAAGAGGAGCCGAAATAATGAGGGATAACTTTCAGCCAGAGATATCTCCTTAAAATCCCACGTCCTGGACAGATATACACAACCTCAACATATTGTGGGTTTGGAAATCTTTGGAATTTTTCCAGGAGGAGTTGGACTGCCGCCTCTGGCATACTTCAGCGATTGCTCGAAATGAACCTCGTGGCTCCTTCTGAACCGACATTCTAGGACTTGGTTATTTATTTTCCAGGGATAGTTGGCTTTCCGGACCATTCCAGGCTCTGCTCCAACATCTCCAGAGGGGGGAAAACAACCTTGGTCCCACCACTCAGGTGTTCTCAGGTGTGTTCCCCTGGCTTCCTTTGGACTCCTTTTATGAGGATTCACATCAAAGGAAGCCAAAGAGATCAAAGAGCTTCCTGGTGATAGCGCGACTGAATTCCACCTCCTTGTGATGTGGTTGACTGAAGCATGACCTTGAAGCGCTTGCCCAAGTTAGCCGAGAAGAGATTGTACTCTGATGGTGGCCCCAACAGGGGGATCGCCCTCAAACTACCAGAGATCAAACTCTGAGAGTTCTCAGAACACAACGCCCAGATCACTCTCAAACTAGGAGAGCCCAAACTCTTGACAATTGTCCGAACGCAATGCCCCCAAACTGTCAAGCAACCTGGTCTCAAGACGGTTCTTCAAGACAAGGAGTCTCCAGTAGGCTACTAGTGGATCCATTGGGAACCTCAGGATCAGAGCTAGGATTCCAGAATTTGATTTCCCTTCAAGTGGAGATCAGCATCAAGTCATAAGCTGGGACACACAGGTTTTTCTGGCTTATTGATGGATGGATGGATTTGCTCATCATCAGCTTCTGACTGTGGGTAGGATTCAGAAGACAAAGAGAAAAACAAGGATGACTTATTATCCCATCGCAACCAGGTTGAGCTGTTTAAGACTATAATCCCATTTAATCGTGGTTATTGTATTCTCTTAATTGGCCAAACCAAGTCTTCAGGGTTTTGTGGAAGGCTAGTAAGATTTGGATCATCTAGGTGTCCGATAGGACACTGGTCCATAATACGGTGCCCTGACAGGGAAAGTCCACTTCCTGGTTGCAGGGAGGTTGTGTCTCTTGCTGGCTGGGGAATTCTGGGAGTTGGAGTTCACATATCTTCAAGTTGTCAAGGCTGAGGGACACCAGTCTACATCTTCCATTTCCTCAACGGATCTTTGAGGATGTACTGTGCGGACCCAACCCACATTATCTCTTGAGAGATCTTGACCAACCAGGTGGGCCATGGATCTAGAACTAGCAGGAGACAAAAATCCCATCCTTGAGCACACGTCTACTCCCACGAGATTAAGAGGATGAACTCTGAATGAGATCACACCTCAGCCACCTCCACAAAACCTCTACGGTCTCTGAAGATCTGAGCAATCATATCTGACGGATGGCTTGAAGAGTTGCCACACCAACCACAAGAACACCCAGATCCTGCCCAAAATTGACGGAATTGGCCACTCGTGATCATGAGACAGTGCTTCACAAATGGGTCCATGCTTGGACAGAGTCCCGTGTTGTCCTGTCAATTGCTTGCGGGTGACAATCACTTGTTGTAGTGTTGTGCAACAATCCAAAGGGCAGCTCCGAGAATTCTCT